TCTTGGCCGCCCGGACTTTGTCTCTAGCCGTGGGTGAGTGATTGGGTTGACCAGTAGTCTGCGGAGATGAGAGATTGAAAACTATGGACTGGTGGTTGGCGGGGGGTGGGGAGGGGAGGGGCGGGCCAGGGGCGGGGCCACGCCAAAAGAGCAAGTAAATGGTCACAGAACTTTAAAAATAAATAAATAAATAAGATTGTAAAGATGATTTTTAATCTATGACTGCATTTATTCGTTTTTCTGGTCATTGTGTAATCCTCAGGAAAGTGTGTTTTCGATGATTTGAAACATGTTCGTTCTCCATCTAAAGAACAAAGATTGTTACAGGGAGAGTCTCTCAAAATTGATTGCGATCCCGGCTACAGTCTCTCAGACCCACAGAGCACAGTGACATGTACGGAGAATGGATGGTCCTCGCCTCCCAGCTGCATCAGTAAGTGAACCTCCCTGATGTCCAGTCCATTTGGGATTTTCTAAAACCACACATATCGCTGTGGAAAGTTTAACGTGTCAACTTTCAAGGTGAATGTGCCAAGCCTTCTTGGCTTTAAAACAAAGGCCTATTTCATTTCCTGTTCCAAATGTGTGTGCAGAATTTTAAATTTTTGATAACAAATAGGTCGTTAATTTATTGCAGTCAGTGACAGCGAGCAATCAGTCATGAATATTGTGAAATACTGTTGAATGAAACAGATTAAGACCACGTACTGTATGTGTTCATTGAAGAAGCATCGAAAATGTCATTTAAATTCAAAATGAATACTCCTCTTGCCCAATGTCAATATATATATTGCTGTCAACCATTTCACCTATGATTGTATGTATTCATGCTATGAGGATATAAATGAAGATTCTCATATGCAGTCATATCTGGCTTTTACATGTTAAGTACACATGATTCTATAAGTCGTTCTGTGGGCTTTTAGAAATAAGAGAATAATTGTTATGGACATGGTATTATACACCAGGATATAATAGAGCTGATCTTTAAATGGAGTCTTTTTAAATGTGTGTATCAAAGCAGTGATCACTGACTTGAACTGGGAATTCAGGAATCTACTGAGCCCCGTGGTAACAACAGCCTGAGCACCTAAAGGAGCCTCTTTATCCTGCTTTTCCTACACCCGATACACAGGTTGCAATACTTACTTTTAATTCACTCAGACTAAGAACATTTATAGATATTAAACTAAACTATATGCAATAGAAAGTGGGCAAATTAACTTAAAAAGCACACAAAGAGATATCAGTTCTTACATTTTTAAATATTGTTCTCCATTTCATGGACTCCCTTTAGTGAAAAAGCTGTAGCCTTTGCAATTCCTTTTTAAAATCAGTGTGGATAAACTTTCAGTTCTGGGAATCATTAGAGAAAGGAGGGTGTTTTTATATAAACACATGGGTCATATATCCAAGGACTACAGTCTTTCTCTAAGACTCACACTCTTAGTGTTAGTATGTCTGCTAGGTAAATACATACATTACTGCTTAGATTCACAAATGGTGTTGTCCTTCAAATGATAGCATCATATCATGATAGTAGTGTAATTTAGTAATAGCCAGTGACATATCACAGTTAAAAATAGGTCAGACCAAAGTTTCCTAACCTATATTTAGAGGCTTTGAAAGGTAGGAAAAAAGGATGTGTAAGGAAATCTATCCTTCATGTTATATAACTCTTTCAGGCCAGAACCACACTGAATCAGAGTTGTCAGATGATATATCACTTATCCACACACTGATGGTAAAGTTTAGTATTGCCAGGATGAGATTTTCTTAGTTGGATTCTACATGATACGGCATTAGAAACACAATGGTCACCTTTATTTTGCTTTAGAACATTGTGACATGCCAATATTTGGGAATGCCACAGCCATAATCACTGGAAAACCATTTCGACCCGATGACATGTTGAACTACCAATGCCTGGATGGCTATGAAAACAGAGATGGAAGCAAAAAGGGTTCCATGGTGTGTGGTGAGGACGGCTGGTCCCACTTGCCAACCTGTTTTAGTAAGTTTTTTGATTCCAGCTTTTCCTTTTCCAAGAATTGAAAAGTCTACATGTATGGAGTCCTTGCTTGAGTGTAGGGATCGAAGGCATGTTTAACACACAAGGGTTAAAATGCAAAATAAGGATAATACTTCTTATGCAGCTTTATAGAAATAGTTTCCAACAAAACTACAATTTGTTCTTCAACATTTAAAATGCTCTTTTTCAGAATCTTCAGACAAGTGTGGGCCTCCTCCAGGGATTAGCAATGGCGACATCACCTCCGTCACATTAAAAATGTATCATCCGTGGTCAACAGTGAAATACCAATGCCAAGCCTACTATGAACTCCAGGGTCCTAAATATGTAACCTGTAGTTATGGAAAGTGGTCCAAACCCCCGAGATGCATAGGTAAGTTCTCAAGATTCTTCTAGATCCTGAGACCATGAGGGTGATGTTGATGAGCTCGCCTGTGGTCTACTAGTCATGCAGTCAGAGTCTAGAACTGTGCTCACCAACAGCTCTCCTGCTCAATGTTTCACATTCGGAGACTCGTGTGTAGGGCTATGAGCCTGGAGAATCCCTATGTGAACAATGAAAAGGTCCTTTAAACAGGAACATTTGGAGAGGCTGATTCTGATACATTAGCTGATGTCACTGTGGACCCTCCCTGACTCATCCTCTCCTGTGTATGTGTCCCCTTCTGCGGGAGATCACAGCAAACCCAGTAAGTCCAGGACCAGAAATCAAACTTACCTTACCCAAGTCAGAATAGTCTAGAAATAGTGCCAACCTAGATTTTATGGGAGGTAAAGTGTTGCATTTCAAAGATAAATTCTAAACCTGAAGTTGAAATGATTGAGTAGATGGACAAGTCTAACACATATCTCCCAGCACAAGCAAGACCTGCTCCCACAACCTTGAATAGAAAGCAGTCTTCATTATCTGGGGACATCAAATCAGTTCAGTGAAGGAGCTAAGACTGTATTTGAGTCTTGGAATTGAAATACGCAGAGAGCATTTAAGATCATTAAAGACAACCTCCAACATCGTGTAAAAAAATTACACAGACATATGGTCTATTAAAGTAAGGTGGTAAATTTTGCTTGGAGTAGTAAAGTTAGAAAGGGAAGATCAGAAAATGTGTTTTGGCACGTGTGTGGAACTCACATAGTATATACTTCTGAATGTACTGGGAAACATTTCAAAATATCTGGATATGAAGAGTCATATGTGTTATTCTATCATGTTTCATCATGGGATGTGTTGGAACAGAACAGAACTTTCAGCTATGTCTAAGGCCTTATCAATGTCAGTGATGGCTGAACTAGAATATAAAATACTTGCATCAAGAGAAGAGAAATAGGAGTCCATGATATCTTCAAATTTTGACATAAGAAGAGTTGAAATATTGCCATATGCAGCAACATGGATGGACTTTGAGAATATCATGCTAAGTGAAATAAGTCAGACAGAAAATATGTGAACCATTGATTTCACTTATATGTGGGATATAAAATTGAAACCAACAAATGAACAAATAAGAAGAAGAAACAAAATCTCACAGACAAAGACCACACTGTGGTGGTTACCAGAGGGGAAGTGGGTGGGGCAGTAGCAGAGGGTAAATAGGGCCAAATACATGGCAGTGAAAAATGATTTGATTTTGGGTGATGGGCACACAATGCAATATACAGGTAATGTTTCATAGAATTAATCATTCAAAGCCTATATAATATAATTCACCTATATCACCCCATAAATATCGTTTTTTAAAATATAAATTAAAAATTTTGGCATGTATTAAGTTCTACAGTGAAAGAACAGTTTGCCCGTAGAAAAAGGAAAAGGTCTGAAACTTTATTATAATACTAGAGGCCCAGTGCCCAAAAATTTGTGCACTTTGTGGGGGGGAGGGGGGCCTCAGCCCAGCCTATGCCCTCTCGCAGTCCAGGACCCATCAGGGGATGTCCACCTGCCAGCTTAGGCCCAATCCCTGGGGGGATCGAGCCTAAGCTGGCAGTCAGACATCCCTCTGGCAGCCTGGGATGTCCAACCTTGGATCTGTCCTTGGGGGCTGTCCAACTTATGGCTTAGGCCCCGATAGGCCCTGATTGCCGGTCAGGCCTAGGGACCCTACTCATGTACGAATATCATGCACTGGGCCTCTAGTTTGTTTATAAAAAGAAATATTACTAATTGCTTTTATTTATTTCTTCTACTTTCAGATCCATGTGTATTATCAGAAAAAATCATGAAAGAAAAGAACATACAGTTAAATGGGAAATATGACAAAACCTATTTTATAAAATCAGGGAATAGTATTGACTTTAAGTGCAAATCAGGACTCAAGGCAGTGACGTCAGTGGAGTCATTTCAAGCCTTGTGTCTGGAAGGGAAAATGGAGTACCCCACGTGTAAATGAAGAAGCCCTGTGGCCCCAAATATGTGGCCAGTCCCACCTACTGCTCTTTGCCTCAAAGCTTGCCAGTCTTCTGGCATTTCCTGCTCTTTTCACTATATTTCAAAGGACAAAAAAGCAATACGTTAGCCTCCTTTTCAACCTAATCGTCTCCCAAAGATGTTAACGCAGCCATATCATCACTTACACTTGTACCAAGACAATAATTCTTCACCATCATGGGATTAGACTACTTGCCAATAGAGCAATAAACTTCAATGGAGGTAACGGTGTGGCTTTCTGCCTATTGAATCGGATGTTTAACCAGTCAAACAAAACACGTGAGCTGAGAATATACTGTGGGAAATCATACAATAGAAATTTACACGTTAAAAATGCCCTGTCTGGTGTGGTTCCGTAATCAGAGCATTGACCTGAAGACAAGGGGCTCAATTCCTGGTCAAGAGCATGTACCTGTGTTGCAGGTTTGATCCCTGTCCCAGGTGGAGTGTGTGCAGAATGCAAGCAATCGATGTATCTCTCTCACATCTCTCTCTCTCTCTCTCTCTCTCTCTCTCTCTCTCTCTCTCTCTCTCTCCTCTTTCTTCCCTCCCTTCCACTCTCTCTAAAAATCAATGGGAAAATATATCCTCAGGAGAGGACTAACAACTATGCCTACATAGATAACATATGTTACAATAGTCAGTGAAAATAACCCCATTACTACATTCTCTTACTGGAGTCAGACGTGAATCGTGGACTGAAGAAGACTTGTTGCGAGGAAGAAGGGCAGTTCTCATTGTTTCCACCTGTAGGGTTTGAACTGTTTGACAGAGTTGAAGCTTGGCTCTTCTATTTGACAAAAATAATCAGTTATTTTAAAGTTGCAAATCTTAAAATATTTACTGATCCTAAGTCAATATGGGAGCTGAATTTCTGTTTTCTCATAGCCTATTCTGAAAGCACATAAAAACAAACTAAAGTCCCGTCCAATGGAAGCTCTGCCTGATAACTAGTCTCCAATTTGTATTTGAGCAGAAGGTTTTGGCCAAACTAGTTCTCAGATGAGGTTAGATTTTATGCTTCTCATTTTCTCCATGGCATGCCTCCGAATATGTTGTTCCCTCAAAGAAAAGGTGCCTAGGCTGCCAGTGTGGCTCTATTGGTTGGACGTCGTGCCTTGCACCAAGACATCAGAGGTTCATTCCAGGTGAGGGCTCATGCTGTGGTTATGGGCTTGATCCCCAGTAGAGGGTGTGCAGCGGGCAGCAGGTAGATGTTTCTCTCTCCTTGTAGATGTTTTTATGTCTCCCTGTGCCTCCCTCTCTCTTTAAAAACAAGCAAAACATATGAAAACAAAAAGGAAGAAGTTGAATGTGAAAAATGTGCTGAAATTCTTGGACCTGGTGGTGTGGTCTGTTGTGAGTTTACCAAAAAAATCAGTGCTGTCCTACAGACAGGACCCTACACTGTGTGGACACACTGGGTGGTGTCCACAGACCCGTAGGACTGCAGTCGGGTGAGAGCAACGAGAGGACGAGAGACCATCACAGGGACACGCAGTCAGAGCTACTCCCACGTGAATCTCCTGGTTGAGAAAGAACCTCACCCATCCTCAAGAAGTGTTTAAAGATTCGAGTTTCATATTATTGTTGGAACTTGTCCATTATTGTCCCTAAGAAAAGCTGTCCAAGTACATGTCAGGGAGTAACTCAGGAGATGATTGTGAAATCCTTCATGTAAATACACAGATATTGCAAAAGTCTTTTTGTTATCTACCGAGTGACCTCAGTGAACCAGCTTCCCGGCACTGTCACTTAAATTCAGAGCCACACTTGGTAACGGCTCAGGAAGCTGAGTTAAACCACACACAGCAGCATTAGACTCTCTGTGCTAACACACCCGGGGAGCCCACCATGCTGTTACTAGTCCAGGTCATCCTCACCCTGTGGGTCTCCTGGGCTCATGGACAAGGTGAGTGGAAAACAGAGCTGGCCAGGCCGCGTGCTCTTACCTGGGACTTCATGTTATATCTACTTTCATGGGTCTATGTTTGTTTGTTTTTAATGAATCGTCTGTATTGGGAGATCATAACAGAGAATAATGACTTTTTTAGGAAAATACAACCAATTATGTTGAATTTTACTCCCCGAGTTCCCAGTAAAAGGGCTCGCAATGCCGATTACGGGAATATTTAAATGTGTTCATACACATTTGGAAACAATGGTAATTCTCACAATTGTATGTGTGGGGACTGTTTTATAGATTGCTTTGTGAAAACTCATGAAATCAGTCTTTTCAAGTATGTGCTGTTTACTGTATTTCAATTATACTTTAATAAGTTGGTAAAAATAATTAGCATTGCAATCAATTTAGTATTGCTATAAGATTAGCAGCGGGTAAAAAGAAATACCTGTTTCAACAAAAAGTAAAATACATTCTTAATTTCCAGTGGAATGTCAAGAAATTTTATTAGATTTCTGAGTTTACTGTTAAGTGTTGAGTACATAAATTACTGTATTTCATAGAATTCTCTCTATTGTGCACTGATGTGCATTCTTTAGAATAATATGTGGTCTCTATTATGTGTCAATGCAACCCTATGTATTAAACAATTGTATCTTAAGACAAATATAATTGGTAGTCTCCTTAACTTATCTTTAATTAAAAAGCAATTTATTTTGTACATTAGTTCTAATAGCATTCGTTGCACTGTAGAATCTTTAAGATTTTATTTACACAATGACATTTCCTCCTCCCTTTACCATCCTTCTGGATATTGTATCTTCACTATTCTATCATTTAACATCCCTTATTTTCCTAAAATCAAATTCTCTCATTCCTGAGTTACTGTAAATGAGACTCTAGCAGCGTGCCTTAGAATACTTCATCCTGCTACTTGCGAATCATGGCTTTTTCCTTAGTTTACAAGAGGAATTCATTTACATGACTTGCTGCCTGCTGGCTTGTGTCTGTTGGGTCAGTTTACATTTGGGCACTTTCCCTCACTGGCCGTCACAATTACAATCACACAGCAAAGCTGCCTACCCAGTTGAACAATGTTCTTCATTAAGGAACTCTTTCTAAAAGTCACCCTTGAGCCCTGGTGTGGCTCCGTTGGTTGGGCATCATCCCGTGCACTGAAAGTTTGCAGGTTCAATTCCCGGTCAGGGCACATGCCCAGGTTTGGGGCTCAATGGCCCATATCAATGTTTCTCTCTAAATATCCCTCCCCTGTTTTCTTTCTCTTAAAAATCAATAAAAAAAAATTTTTAAGTAGCTGGCCGGTGTAGGTCAGTGGTTGACTGAGTAACGTCCCATGAATAGGAGGTCACGGTTCGATTCCCGGTCAGGGCACAGGCCCAGGTTGCGGGCTCAATCCCCAGTGTGGGGTATGCAGGAGGCAGCTGATCCATGATTCTCTCTCATTATTGATGTTTCTATCTCTCTCTCCCTCCCCTTTCTGCTCTCTAAGATCAATAAAAACATACATTTTTTTTAAAGATGGGTACCAGTCCACTTTTAAACGCTCTGTAGTTGGAGTTGCACCAATGTTTGTCAGGGGAAAGGATCCCACTTAGGGGCCAAAACTTTTATGTGGACACAAACACCTCTGTGTATTTAGTTGGCAGGGGTTGGATTGAAGTCCAAACTCCTGGAACCTCAGCATGTAACTGTGTGGTGATAAGGCCTTTAAGGGGTGATTAACTTACAACATGTCATTAAGGGGGTGAGGGTAATAGAGGAGACTTGTTCGTTCATCCGGGGTCCTACATTTTTTTCCTTCAGGAAAAACTTGTGATTTCCCGGAAATAAAACATGGAAACATATATGAGGAAAACAGATACAAGCCCACCTTCCCGGTCGCCACAGGGAAATACTTCTACTACTCCTGTGACCACAGCTTCGTGTCTCCCTCCCGGTCACTCTGGACGCAGATAAACTGCACGAAGGGAGGATGGTCGCCAGCTCCGAGGTGTATCAGTGAGTAAATGCCCCCCAACCCCCATTCCCCGATGAATTACTCCGGCGGACTCAGTGAAGGGGGCGGGGAGAGGGGCCTGCAGGAGGGATCACAGAATCTGAACAATTACCGTGTCAGGGGTGGTGGAGCCAGCGAAGGTAAGACATGTCACTCTTCAGAAATCAACTCAGCAAAAAATAAGATACAAACTTGATGAAATATCTAAATTTTTTTTAATTTCAAAAACCAATGCCATTTCAACTGCTAATATTTAAACGCGCTCACTCGGTCATTGTAGAACACAGATGTTCTCGGGAGAGTTCATTTTTGT